GATGATGAGGTGCTTAGGGTTTAGTGTTTAGCGCCTTAGGGTTTACGGTTTAGGGGTCAGGGTTAAATTAGGGTTTAGGGCCACAGGATGTAGGTACTTGGTTCGGGCTGCGCCGCTATCATACTGTTCCTCAAAAAGAGACGGGGAAACGAGGTGGTAGCGTTCAGCCCCGACGCCTGCGCGCATGTTCACTGACCTTACAATTTCGGGCGCGGGGGGGGGGGGGGGGGGGGGGGAAGGGCGAGTTTGGGTTTAAGGTTGAGGGTTCAGGGTTCAGGGTTTAGGGTTTAGGGTTTAGGGCCCCCATCAAATATTTGCGCTGGCCGCAACAAAGTAGAAGTGACCGACCCTAAACCCTAAACCCTAAACCCCCAAACCCCTAAACCCTAAAGGTCTTCGATTGGGTTCAGGGTGGTTTGGCTTCTCTCGCTTGTCATTTTCTCGAAGTTTCCGGTTCATGTCAAGATCCTAAACCGTGAGTAGTTGGCTGCAAGACCTGAACCCAGTAGCCCATCAGAAAGACCAAGACTCCTTTCCTTTAACTCAACTAAGCTAAAATAGGGTTTAGGATTTAGGGTTTAGGGGTTACTGAATAGTACCTACCTACGGTACATTTTTTGGGATGTTCCCCCTTATACTAACAGTCCTTAATCGGGATCATAATGGGGTGAATTGTACCTACCTAAGTTACACATCCCTATACCCTATAAACCCTAAACTTTATACCCTAAACCCTTAAACCCTTACACCCTAAAATCGGGTCGTTGGGCTCTCGTGGCTCCACTCGCTGCGCGCAGACTCCGATCCGGTGGAGCCCTACCAGTCTGAAGACTCCTGGATTTCCTTTTGGTACGAAGTCAGGGTGCAGGGTTTAGGGTTTAGGGTTTAGGGTTTAGGCTTAGGGTTATCTCCAGGAGCCCACGCTATGGTTTTTTGGCGTCTTGGGTTTCGTAGACCGTAGGGCCTCACAAGGGGACGACTGGGTTCCGTCGGTTTCGTGGTTTGATGTAGGGTTTAGACGCAGCTTTCCTTGTAAGGTCATGCATGCCAGTGCCTAATCATCGTTCCTAAATGGGCATTTCCCAAAAAAGGGGTACCCCCCTTTATGCCCCAAATAGAATGGGGACCTCAAAGCCGCCCTTGTTTCGGAACCCCCCAATGAGCACCCTAGTAGCAACCCCCTGAAAGGCATGACCTGATAGTCGCAGGGTCCATGTTTGGGGGGGCTGGGCCTTCGCCTTCAGAGTCTAGAAGATCCTAAGGCCTAAGCCCTAAACTCTGAACCCTAAACCCTAAACCCTAAACCCTAAACTCTGAACCCTAAACCCTAAACCCTCAACCCTAAACCCTAAACCCTAAACCCTAAACCCGAAACCCAAAACCCTAAAGATGAGAATCCCAAAGCCTCCTCCGAAAGGAAGGGAGACCGCGCTGGTCTCTTGGTGCTTGGCGATGGCACTCTCGTTGTGCTGGTGCCTGGCTAGGGTTTAGGGTTTAGGTTTTAGGGTTTAGGGTTTAGGGTTTAGGGTTTAGGGTTCAGGGTTTAGGGTTTAGGGTTTAGGATTTAGGTTTTGGGGTTAAGGGCCGCTTAGGCTGGTTTAGGGGGGCTTGGGGTGTAAGGTTGCAGCGTCTTCCTGCCTGCTTACCCCGATGCACCTTTCAGCAGCGTGTTTTGTGCTCTAATGTAGGTAGGACCTAGGGATATTGACTAGACCTTGAACCCTAAACCCAGACCCTACACCCTACATGCAGGGCTGGGGGGCTGGCAGCAAAACCCCCAAACGCGACTAACGGGTTGTGAGTTCCAGCCCTTCAAGGTATCAGGTTGAAAGGTTTTGTGTTCAGGACTTGGGGCTTAAGTTCCCCTAAACTTGAACCCCTAAACCCTAAACCCTAAACCCTAAACCCTAAACCCTAAACCCTAAACCCTAAACCCTAAACCCTAAACCCTAAACCCTAAACCCTAAACCCTAAACCCTAAACCCTAAACCCTAAACCCTAAACCCTAACCCTAAACCCTAAACCCTAAAGCCCTAAACTTGTTGAACTCAGGGCTTCTTTCGTCGAATCTTTGGAAAAGCCTGCCCTTTGTAAAGGTGAATGGCGCGCCGGTGTGCAGCGGACCCAAGCAAGTGCCTGCGCTCTGGCCGACATTCAGGTTTTATGGTTTAGGATTTAGTTTGCGGCCCTCCTTTTTCTTATTGCTTATGCAGGGTGTAGGGCCTGTAAGCCAGTGAACCCCAAAACTAAGGTCAGGGTTGATGTTGCAGGGGGTTGAGTTCTAAGCTGAAACCCGAAAGTGTTAAAAGTTGTGGGGGGGTTCGAGCTTCGCGCACGCGATGCCCTGAACAGTCGTCATCCCAAGTCTTGGGGAGGAGAGGGTGAGTGCAGATTCCTAAACCCAAAGCCCTAAACCCCAAACCCTAAACCCTAATCCCTAACCCTAAACCCTAAACCCGAACCCCTAGAAACGCGAAGCCGTCAACCCAGAGCCAGGTGTCAGACGTCCCGCTTTATCCCTTCATCGATCTCCTTGGCTTCTCGGTTAGGGGTTTTTAGGGTTTAGGGTCTAGGGGCCTTAACAATTAGGATAGGGTTGTTGTTTTTTTTGGGGGAAGGGGGGCGGGGGGGGGGGGGGGGGGGCGGAGGGGGGGGGGGGGGGGGGGGCGGAGGGTAGAAATAGTACAGTTATACAGGGACCACAATGGAATACGATTCGTGCATTCCGTGCCCTCTATACTCAGTGGGGTACATATTTCTTGTACCCCCCAAAAGGACACCCAGTATATACACTCACCAATATTTAAAAAAACCTATGTACACTCACCAAAAGCAGAAATACAAACCCTGCTTCATATCCTAAACCCTAGACCCTAAACCCTCAACCCTAAACCCTAAACCTCAACCCTCTTTCAAGATCTTTTGGAGGCTTTTGAAGGTTTGGATGGCGCGGGAAGCTCGCAGGAAGCCAACCCATGAAGCAGTGCGGCCTCTGGGGCCTGTGTAGGTGGGGGAAAGGGGGAAAGGGTTAGGGGTTTAGGGTTTAGGGTTTAGGGTTTAGGGGTTCCCCTAATCCTATCCCCTAGTTGAGGGTTTTGTGGGGGAGGTGATCTGGTTTCGGGTTCACGTTAGTATTGGCCCCTGGAGCCCGAAAACCCGGCCACTCCCCACTGCCCACCCTTGAATCATACACCCCATAAATCCCGCATCCTCACCCCTCCTAAACCCTAAACCCTAAACCCTAAACCCCAAACCCGTAAACCCGATGCCCCAAACCCTAAACCCCAAACCCTAAACCCTGAACCCCAAATCCGAAACCCCAAAACCTAGACCCCAAATCCTAAACAAAGCCCAAATCCGAAACCCCAAACCCTGAACCCCAAATCCTAAATCCTAAACAAATCCAGATCCCGAACCCTAAACCCCAACATCTCAGGCAACACCCAGGCCGCGTCCCTCACTCGGCCGACTGCAGAACTCGTGCGCGTTGCTGTGGCGAGTGCCGCAAAGGCCGAGTTCGGCACCGTAGGGTGTAGGGTTTAGGGTTGGGGGGTTTAGGCCTCTGGGGGTTTAGGGGTTTAGGGTTATATGCTTAAGGCATTGCAAGTGGGTTTCGGGTCTCAGGCTTTTGGGTTTCTGGTGGAATGTGGGCTTTGGGGGCTCTGTAGCCTTTGAATGGCTTCAGGTTGAGGCCTTCAGGGCTCTGAGTCCTACAGCCCTAAACCCCTAAACCCCTAAACCCCTAAACCCCTAAACCCCTAAACCCCTAAACCCCTAAACCCCTAAACCCCTAAACCCCGAAATCCCTAAACCCCGAAACCCTGAACCCCTGCAGCCCCTGCTAGGAGCTGCAGGGCCTCCAACTTCAGAAATTCAGGGCTCAGTAGTTTAGGAGGCTTGGGGCGGCTTAGGGCCCTAACCCCTAAACCCGGAACCCTACTTGAGCCTCACGGGCTTGGGCGAGTCTCCCTTTTCATGTCTCCGGCCCCCTTCTTTCTCCCCCCAACCCCACCCCCCCCTCCCCCCCCCCCCCCCCTGTCCAGGCTCAGAAGAAAAGCCTTCTAGCCGGACAAGGCTGACTTTCCGCGTTCCTCTGGGTTTTTTGGAGCTTTCAGGTATAGGGCTTAGGCCCTAAACCCTAAACCCTCAACCCCACCCGAGAACCCTAACTCGAGCCCTGCCTTCCGCTGCAACAGACCTTCAGTTTTGGATCCCTGCCAGGTAGATAGACGATATCTGAGGCAGCTGCATAGAGTTTTTAGAGTGTTGGGTGCAGAGAGAATCGCCCCCCTGAGGTGGTGCAGGGAGGTGAGGTTTTCCGAAACCCAAAATACCCCCAAATCCCTAAGCCCCTCTTGGATTTAGGATCTGCGGCCAAACCTGAGCCCTGAACACTCTCAATCCCCAAGGGTGCTAGGGCAAACCCTGTAAGCCCGAAACCCCCGTCTCGCTCGGTTAACGGACAAGTCAGGCCCCTCAAGAAGAAAGGTCCTGCTCGCCCTGTCTTAAGCAGGTCAGTCGGCGTGACACCGAACCAGGCTTGACGAGTGTTTGGCAGACATGCGAGGCCGCTGTACAAACTGCCAGAGGCATGCTGCTCACATCTCAAACAAGCAAACTTTTGTAAAGGTGGTGAAGCCCTGCCGGGAAGCAGAAAGTCCGACCAGCACGGGTTCCTCACTCTCGTGAAAGCGGGTGCCATGAACAAGCCTGAAGAGCTCGCAGGCAACCCAGAACGAACCATGCCACGAAAACCATGTTTCAGGGCAAAACTATACTTGAAGTGACATGCAACGCCAAAAGTGTACAAGTGCATTGCCACGAAAGTCGCGAACCGAAGCTCAGAGACAAGAGCATCGTCACTGAATGAAAAGGCAGCATCAAAGGGCTGCGCTCAAAACTGGTAAGGCTCAAAAGTGCAGGTGCAGAAGCTCAGCTGTGCTCGCCAGCAGCGCAGCCGAAGGCCAGCAGCACAGCAGCCAGCGCCCAGCTGCAGCTGCTTAGTCCAGGGAGCCCTCAGGCTCAGTTGCAGGCACAGGCTGCCTCTCCACAGCAGCAGCCAGAAGCAGCCCAGCAGCCGCAGCAGCCTGGATCGCCTGCGTTTCCCAAGCAGTGGCCTCTTCAAAGGCCTGGTGCCAAAGTGCCCGTCTGGAGTGGGCAGCTCTGTTCTCACGTGCACAGTTGGCCGCAGCATCGGCCTTGTCGTTGAGGTCCCGGCACAACTCAGCACTGATTCCATCAGGTGGCCTCCAGTGCCTCTTTCTGCCATGCGCAGGCACCCAAGTGAGGCTGACAGCAATGCCCCGACTTTGCAAGTTCCGCAGATTGGTCGCAATCTCCTCGAAGATGCAAGGAAGAGCAGACATGCCCGGCCGAGCCACTCCTTGCAGTGCAGCTTGGCAGTCGCAAAGCACATGAACACGTCCTCGTCGATCTCCAGGCAGTCGTTGTAGAGCACGTGTGATGTAGAGCAGTGCCAGGGCCTCGTTTCTGAACGCAGATTGGTCCTCCGAAGCATCACCCGTACCGAAAGAGGCCTCGGCGGTAACGATGGCGAAGGCTCCAACTCCCTCCTTGGCGCTGCCGTCGCTTGCGAGGAACAGCTCCGCGTCGTCCTTGAAGAAGGCCTCGAGGTGGTCAGCGACGTCCTGCTCGAATCCCTCCAAGTCCACAGCTGGCGGCGCCGGCGGGTACGCCTCGATCTGGGCAGCGAAAAGCCGCTCCTGAGCGCGTTCACGGGGCAAAGGCACCTCATGTCTGCAGACCGCAGTTTTCTCGCACGCCCACGCGAGGTGGGCCCGGCTGGGCCATAGGCCCCCGCACAGGCACTGAACTGGCACGTCCCGAGGACGGCGAAGTTTCGCAGCAGTGTGCCACGCACTACCTCCAGTTGCCATGGCCGCGCGCCGCAGCTCCACAGGGCCTTGTCGACCAAGAAGACGGTGTCCAGCAAGGGCGTGGTGTTGACCGTGAGGGGGACCAGGTAGTGCGAGACCGCGTGCACACTCGGGTTCGGCGCGATGAAGCGACCGCTTAACTCGCCCGCATCGGTGCACGCCTCGCCGTTGGTGCTCCTCCTTAAGCCAGTGCTTGAGGACGCCGAGGTTGTCGTAGCCAAAGAAGAAGCGCCGTGTGTCTCCTCGGGGATCGGTGCGGTGCAGCACCTTGCCGTTGGCCGAGGCACTCCATCCCATCCGGTCCAAAACAGCCAGAGCAGCTGGCGCCACGCGAATCCACGGTACAAAGGTGTCCTGCAAGCTGACGGTGTCGAGCCATGCAGGAGGGCGGGTTTGAAACCTCCAGGCCGTCTTCAGCGCGGCCCAGTCGCCGTACCACTCTACTGAAAACTGCCAGCCAAAGACCGCGTAGACGAGCACCTGGGGCGTCTCCTCGGTGATGCAGTCCTTAAGAGTCGCAGTGATCTCTGCCTGAAGCTGTTGTGTTTCACGTGCGCTAGGCCTAGCCACCCCAGCCGCCCAAAACAAAGCTGAGTGAATCAGGCTGGTGAGGATACGGCGTCGGTACTCCATCCGAGGTCGCAGAAGTCGTAGGTATCGAAGTCGCAGCAAAAGAGTCTGCAACGACAGCTTTAACAACGAGGTGGCCCCGTCGCTGAGCTTCAGCTCGATGCCAAGAAGCTCCAGAGAGCTTTCTCTGGAGTAACCCCGTTCAGCAATGAGCTCGTTCAGAGAAGAGTCAGAGTCGAGCACCACGATTGCACACTTCGTGGGCTTGCAGACAAACTTGAAGGCCTCGTCAAAGCGGTCGCTCCTTTGCAAGGCAGCCCGGAGAGCTGTAGCTGGGCAAGCAGCATGAGGCAGAGGCCAAAGAGCCCTGTCGTCGACGAAGATCATCAAGTCCACGTCTGAGCACCTGCAGTACTCGGCCCATGTGGCCCCCACCGCCAATGCGATGACCGGAGACAACGGGCACCCCTGCAAGAAACCGGCGGTGGTAGTGCGCCAACGAGCGTCAAAGCAGCCCCCAGCCTTGAAGAGGCGTTGGGGCTCAGTGTAGAAGGACCGCAGGAGCCCCGCCAGCCACTGAGGAGCCCCAAGTCGTGCCAGGACCAGCTCCACCGCCTCGATGTTCAAGCTGTCGAAGTAGGCAGACAAATCCTGCTTCACGTAGCGGCGGCATCCCATGTGCCAAGCTTGCAGGATTCGTGCATGGCCGTCCTGAACTCCCCGCTGAGGGGCCGCTCCAAGTGCCAGGTGGTTGAGCCAAGTGTCGACCCAACCCCGAAGTTGCGCATTCATGCACCTCGCCCCGGCCCTCCAGATCACAGAGCATAAGGCGATTGGCCGAGTGGCCTCGTCACGCTTGGGAAGCAGCGCAACGACTGCTCTGCGCCAAGCCACAGGAACGTAGGAGCAGGCAACAACCCGGCACCACAAGCGCGCCACAGCAGCCCACCACGCCTTTGGGAGGGCGAGGAGCTGCTCAGGCGTCCATTGGTCTGCTCCAGGGCTCTTCCCCTTCATCTTCTTTGTAGCTCTGATGAGGTCCTCAGGGCTGAGGTCGAACTTCAGGTCTGAGAGGGGAAACTGCTGCAAGGAGGCCAGTATGCCGCGCACAGCACTGGCGTCATTCGAAGTGCTAGATGAGGTCCACTTTTTGTGCCACAACTCTGCATGTTCAGCCACCATGGAAGCAGGATGCACGCAGGTGGGGATCGCATCAGGGCTCACAGTGGGCCCCTGGAGCTTCAACGCCTCCTCAGCCTTGCGCTTGACCCAGGTGTGGGCCTTGGCCCACTGCTGTTGCGTGTCCACGCGCCATCTTTCCAGCCTTGCGTTGCGCTCCTGCTCCGAGTAGACGTTGTAGAGCTCGGAGACGGCGTCGATGGAGGCGTCGATGTAGCAGAGGTCGATGTAGGGGAAGCCCGGGACCACGCGCCGCAGCTGACCACAACCTCGTCGAATAGCACGTTGAAGGTGTTCATCGTGAGGCTGTTGGCGAAGCTGAGACAGTCGCCCAAGGAGGCCACGAAGAAGTTGCGTTGCACGAGACTCGTGCCCATGCTCTCCGCATCGGTGCTCAGCTCGTCGAGGTCGCACAGGTTCCCAAAAGGAGCTACGTCTGCTTCTGTCCGCCCAGCCGAAGAAGTCGGCACCCAGAGAGCACTCGGCCACATCCGAGAGCTGCGTCCAGGCCTCGTCCAGCTGATCCGCGTCGAGGTAGGTGGAGAACAGCTCTTCGTCCCAGACGGCGTCGAAGTTGAGTCCAATGGCCGCCTCATCTTGCAGTGAGAGCTCGTGGAACTTCGGGAGCACGTAGTCAGATCGGCGGCACTCCACCTCGAGGTCATAGCCCACACAGAGGTGGTCCGAAAGTTCCGGACGCTCAAAGTGCTCCACCCTGCTGGCCAGAGTACTGCGGTCCGCGATGGCATAGTCGATGCGGCGGGTGCGTCGCTTTTCTCCGGTGTTCAGGTCTGCGCGGTAGGGGTTGGTGAAGGGGAGGGCCTCCTCGAAGTCGGCGTCCAGCACTTTCACCACTCCACTCGCAGTAGCTTCGACGATGTAGCCCTCATCTGCAGTAGCGTTGAAGTCACCGAAGATCACAAAGGAGCCACCAAAGGCCCGCGCAGCCTCCACCAGTTCGCGCAGCATTTCAGAGGTGGCCTCCAGATCGCCAGGAAAGCCGTAGGCCGCAATCACTAAGAGGTGATGCTTGCGGGAGCCGCTGCACAGCTCCACCAGCCCAGCTACATGGCGCGGTTGCGCCCTAGCCAAACCCAGATTGACCTGTCGAAGGGGCACTTTCGAAACCAAAGCCACCCTATGTGAGCCCTTGTTCACATCGCCAGCGCTCAGGAGCGCACTGTAGCCCTCGTGCCGCCAAGCCTCCACAAAGCCGGGAGCAGAGAGATAGTTCACATCGATCTCCTGCAGAGAAATAAAAGAGGCTTGGGCCTCCCTGGCCAGCTCAGCGGCCAGAGGGTTTTTGGTGATGCCCGTCTTGTTGAGGTTCGCCGTCAGAAAGAAGGTGAAGGTTGCAAAGAGGGGCTTGTCGATGGCCCGCATGCACTGATGGCTGCGTCGGTGGCCTGGAGCAGCCGAGCCTTCTCGTCCGTGTACTTCTTCTGCGTCTGCAACCACTGTCGAATGTCACGAAGTCGTCGAATCTGCCGCTGTGCAAAGGCCGGCCGCGTCTCCGGGCAAGGCCCCTTGGAGTGGCGCTTAACGAACGGGGTCGACCTGACCACGGCCTGGCACTTCTGACATTTCCAAGCGTGCTCGCAGGAGACCTTGAGGATGGTCTTGGTGCCTTGAGCAAACTTTGCCCGCGGGAAAACGAACATGCTGAGGCCCGGATAGCGTGGTTTTTGGACCTCCTTCATCACAGTCACCGAAACCCCCGTCAGAGCCGTTTGAGCCTTAGGGTCTCCCACTTGGGGTTTAGGGTTTAGGGTTTATGGTTCAGGGTTTAGGGTTTAGTGTTTTGCTGCTTAGGGTTGCGAGAAAGGCTCCTGAAGTCCACCTTGGCAGCAGGCGAACCGGGTTGCCCTCCCTAAACCCCTGGAACCCTGGACCCTACGCCCTAGAAGCCTAAGCCCGAAACCCTAAATCCCCTAAACCCGAAACCCTAAAGCCCTAAAGGTTTAAAGCCCTAGAGCGCCCTAAACCCCTAAAAACCCTAGAAGACCTTAAAACCCCCTAAAAACCCTAAACCCCGAAACCCTCAAAGCCGTACACCCACCCAACAGCCGATCCTCTTACACAGGGACTGGAAACCCGGCTTTCTTCGATGCCTGGTGAGGGGCGAAGCGCGGTAGCAACGGAGGGTTTAGGGTTCAGGGCTTAGGGTTTAGGATTTGGGGTTTAGGGTTGAGGTTTAGGGTTTGAGGTTTAGGGTTTGAGGTTTAGGGTTTGGGGTTTAGAGTGTTTGGGGTTTAGGGTGAGGTTTAGGGTGAGGTTTAGGGTTTGGGGTTAAGGGTTAAGGGTTTAGGGTTTAGATTCTTTAGCTCTCTCTTATTTCGTAGCCTCAACCCTCATTCAACCTTTGTCTGGACTTTTATGGATGGTGGGGATTGGGCGGGTTCGCTGACTTGGGGGGAGGGGGGAGGGGCGGGCTTGGGGTTTAGGGTTTAGGGTTTTGGGTTTTAGGGTTTAGCGGTTGCTGTTTAGGGTGTAGGGTTTAGGGTTTACGGCCGGTTGTCGAGGTTGCAAGGTGGAATAGCAGCTTCGCCGTTTGAACCCTAAGCTCTTGCCCCCAAAACCCTGAACCCTAATCCTCCAAACCTTCAACTCAGAAAAACTTACAGGAACTTGACAGTACTCACTTGGCTTTGGGGCTTATGGCCTGAGATACTGGTAGCTTTGGAGGATTCGATGGCTTTAGGGTTTTGGCGTCCTCAGCTGAGGTAGTCTGGCTCTTCACGCGCTTCCGAAGACTCTGCCACAGGCACATGACAGGCTCTTTGGCTTTGTTGTGGCCTAGGCCAGCTTGGAGAGTGTTGCGCAACACTGCTTGCTCAAGCCCTAAAACCCTAAACCCCCTAGGTTCCCAAAGATTTAGCCTCAAACCCTAGGGTCTTAAAAACCCTGCCAAGCCCTAATGTTGAGCTCGTTTTAATTACCCCCCCCCCCCCCCCCCCTCTTGTTTGATTCTTTCTCACCCCCCCCCCCCCCCGACCCCCTATTGAGGGCTCTGCTAGGCCGGGCAATCTTTGGCTTAAGGCTCCAGGCCGGGCAGTCTTTGGCTTAAAACCTCCGGCCCCTACAGTCTGCAAGGCTGCAGGCTTAACATGAAGCATGTGCAGTTCTTTTTAGGGTTTAGGGTTTAGGGTTGGGGGCTCATAATTCCGGGCTTGGGGGTTTCTTAATTGAGGGGGGGGCTTATAAAAAAATAAGGTCAAGATTAAAGGCTAAACCCAAACCTTAAAGCCCTCGAGTAGCCCTAAGCCGAAAGGTTTAGGGTTTAGGGTTTAGGGTTTAGGGTTTAGGGTTTAGGGTTTAGGGTTTAGGGAACCCTAAACCCGAAACCCCAAAAGCCCTAATACTCCCAACCCAAGGTCCGACTCTGCACAAGCCTAGACACCCTCGGCGAAGTCGGCCCACGCAACGGCGACTGCTTGTTACCACGCCATGGTGGCCTTGTGACCTTTGGTAGGGATTTTTCGGGTTTAGGGCTTAGGGTTTAGGATTTTGGGGTTTCCGAAAATCGAGGTACCCTTTTTTGGGGGGTCCCTTTAGGGGGATTCTATTCTAGTTTTTTTAATACGAGGTACCCCTATGGTGGCCTCGCGACCTTTGGTAGCTTGGGGGCTGGGTACCTCTAGCCTTCTTGGTTGTAAATAACCTTACTACAATCAAATGCTTAGCCTGTTTGGGGCTAGGGTATTCAGCCCCCTAAGGTAGGTTTTAGGGTTTAGGGTTTAGAGTTTACTATCTACGAGTCAGCAATTTTCAGGCGTAAGGTTTCGGGTTTTGTGAGCAGGGAAGGAGATCAGCGTGTAGAGGCATGTGCAGGCCAAGTGCTTTCATTATTATTGTTGCATTGTTGCCTGTTGAAGCCAAGCAGCTCACAGAAGTAACTTGGACAGTTGTAGCAGAGGGCAAAAAAGCAGTGTGGCCCAGGCCTGCCGGGTACCATAGGACATTGCGGTGTAATTTAACAGACGGGGGTATGTCATCAGGCTGCTCAGCAGGCGGATACTTGCAGCAAGTACAACAAGTTCAGTCACAAGCGTGCGCGCTATTCCTTGAGAAGAGTCTCTCTGCCCCCCCCCCCCCCCCCCCGCCAACCCCTCAAACGCAAGACCCTCAGCCGAGGAGCAAGACCGGATCCGAATTTCGAAGATCCTGGCAAAGCCACTGCGGAGGGCATCGCGGTGTCAGGCTTTCTCACGGGAGCACAGCGCCCAGGGAACACTGGAACTCTTCCTCTCGCGCACAAGTCTGTGCCTCCCAGGAGCAGAAGATGGCTCAACAGCCATATCCACTACACTGGGCCCACAGACATCGAACAGAAAAAACCCCGGCATAGCCTGAGCCGATTCCGATGAAAGCTGGTCTTTGGCCTGAGGCAGCTGGGTTCATGGCACCTTGGCACAATTTTGCTTTGCAAGATTCAGGAACTTTTGAAGAATCGCCATGACCCTAAACCCTAGGCATCAAAGGGCTTGCCCACAAAACCCGTTGGTTGTGGTGGAGAAAAGCCCTCCTCTCAGACTTCAAGGCAACCATAGGGTTTAAAGGATGTTTAGGGTTTAGGGTTTAGGGTTTAGGGTTTAGGGTCTCCTGGTTTGCCCCAGATCTAAGGCGCCTAGCCCAAGATGACGAATCAGCCGGCGCCGACCTGGCCACTCTTCCGCCTCAGGATGCCCCCAGTGCACCCTTGGGAAGTATTTTTTGCTTATATAAAACGCAAGAGGATATTAAACATGTTGTTTTTATCAAGGTTCGAAGGGGAGTATAGGGGCCCGGTTGACATTCAGATGACAGGTGCTTTTAGGTCTTCTGGGATTGTTACAGAGCGTACAGAAGTTGCTGTGCAGGATTCAGAAGGTTATAGTTATAGGCTTAGTAGCTGAGCGAGCACACTTTACACTTTTTGGGATACGATAACTCCCTAAAGAGATCAAAGTGTGCACTTTTTGGGGCTTATTCACCCTAAACCCTAAACCCTAAACCCTCTTGTGAGCTTCGCAGCTAAGCAGGGTAGGGGCTCGTCTACAGGCCTGTTGAGGTTTTGGCGGCTGTCGGGCTTAATGCACGGCTTACAGGGTCCATCATGTTTGGGTTTTCTTTATCTTTCATGCATATATATATATATATGGCAGAAGTAGGGAAGGTGCTTTTTTGAAGAGGTTCGCAAGGGGCGCGTGTGAGATGGGATGCTTCTGAGCATGTGTCTCTCTCTCTATATATATATATATACATATAGGTGTATCTATCTATACACACATATATATATATATGTATATCTATGTAGATGTATGTGATGTACATATATTGTGTATGCATATACATATATACACATGTATATATGTAAATATGTATATATGTATGTATGTACTTATGCATATCTGCATATATGTATCTATGTATCTATGTATCTATGTATCTATGTATCTATGTATCTATGTATCTATGTATCTATGTATCCATGTATCTATGTATATATGTATATATGTATATATGTATATATGTATATATGTATATATCTATATTTGTATATTTGTATATTTGTATATTTGTATTTTTGTATATTTGTATATTTGTATATTTGTATATACCTATATTTGTATATTTGTATATATCTATATTTGTATATTTGTATATATGTATATATTGTATATATGTATATATGTATATATGTATATGTATGTTTATGCATGTAGAAAAGCGTTTATATCGGGCTCCGTTTACAGGGTTTGTGTAGGGGTTTGTACAGGATATCTGTATATATCCTGTACAAAGCCCTAAACCAATGGGCTTCGACTGTTCTCCTTATACCCAGAGGGATGCCAATAGTTTCCTGAAGGCATGTGCCTTTTAGTTAGGGTGCTGAGTTCGTTTCTATACTTTCAATGACCTACTTGATTAGGGTTCAGGGTTTAGGGTTTCGGGTTCAGGGTTTAGGGTTTAGGGGTTAGGGGTGTCCTTAAGTGGATTAGCAACCTATAACTGTCGTAAACCCTAAACGCTAAACCCTAAACCCTAAGACCCTACACCCTAAAACTCCCTGGAAGTTCGGGGATGTCCGTACGCTTGTAGACGTTCGTTCCCGTCCAAACCCAGGCTCGGTTTTCAGTCGCGAGCGGCGCACTCTGCAGCCGGACTTTTGAGCGCAAAGCGCGTGACATCACTCCCTAAACCCTGAACCCCAATCGCGAAACCCTGAACCCCAAGCCCCTGAACCCTAAATAAACCCTAAACCCCTCATCCCTGAACCCTAAACCTCCAAACCCCAAAGCCTGAACCCTAAACTCCAAACCCTCAACCCTGAGCCCTAAACCCTAAACCCTGAAGATTCTTGCTCTGTAGCCCAACAAGGGCCACGAATCAAAACTGGAGAAAAGGCCTCGGCTTTTGATGCTCCCCGTGTCTAGGATTTCAGGTTACAGCTTTTGGCTTCGGGTTTGGGTGTTTAAGGTTTAGGATTTAGGGTATTCAGGGAACACTACATCCTAAACCGCAACCCTAAAACCGTGCACCCTAAACCCAAACCCCAAACCCCAAACCCCAAACTCCAAACCCCAAACCCCAAACCCTTAACCCTAAACCCTAAACTCTAAACCCTAAACCCTAAACCCTAAACTAACTAAACCCTAAAGAAAGGGTGCGGCCTCTTCTG